TACACTACTGTTCAAGATGTGTGTGTGAGTGTGTGTTAAAAGAAATTAATATTTTATTCAGCAAGGATGCTTTAAATTGATCTAAAGTAATAGTAAAGACATTTACAATGCATTGTTATAAAAAAAAACGGCACGTGGCCTTTGAGATTTTAGAGCCAACTTTAAAAAAACTAAAAATCTTTCTTTGAAAATTAATTCTGCATGACTGTGGTTTTTCATTATAGTGTCAGTAGTCATAAATCTAAATTTGGTGGCTCCATTTGATTTACACCCAAATTAAAAGGTATTGTGCTCTTTTTAAAAATAGTTTTTATCCTCCTTTTGACATATCTTGTCTTGCCCAGGACACCAAAGTGGCTTTCACTTGTGGATTCTCAAAGGTGCACGATGCCCCTGTGTGTTCACTGCTGTGTGTGTGCACTTTGGATGGGTAAATGCAGAGCACTAATTCTGAGTATGGGTCACCATACTTGGCCACATGTCACTTCACTCACTCACTCACATTCTCAATCACACACACACACACAATCACACACATACTCACACACACACACACACACACACACACACATTCTTATTCACACACACACACACACGCACACACACTCTCTCTTACACACACACACACACACAATCACACACACACATACTCACACACACACACACACACACACACTCTCTCTCACACACACACACACACACAATCACACACACACCTACTCACTCACACACACACACACAATCACACACAATCACACACACACATACTCACTCACACACACACACACACATAATCAAACACACCTACTCACTCACACACACACACACACACATACACACAATCACACACACATACTCACTCACACACACACACACAATCACACACACACATACTCACTCACAAACACACACACACATGCATATGTGGTTTACGGGGACTCTCCATAGGCGTAATGGTTTTTATACTGTACAAACTGTAATTTGTTTCCCTAAACCAACCCCTCACAGAAAACTACAGCCATTTTTACATTTTCAAAAAAACGTTACGTTGTGCACATGCAGTGTTTAAAACAGAGCTGTATTTGTTCCGTGCACGTGTGTACTGACCTGAAGACCCGTACCGATACTGGTAACGGTATCAGCTCGTTTATTTGTACTCATTCTCATTAAAATGCTCTGATTAAAAAAAAAAAACAACCTCTATCACACGGCATGTGTACAGTGTTTACAGTGTCCAGACAAAGAAACACAACAGAACAAACAGAGCAGAAAGTTCATATCAGAGCTTACAGATGTCTAAGTCAATCTATTTAGTAGAAAATTGAGTATAAATGTATTATTCACGTCTGTATAGCTTATATATGAAACTATCAGAGCTTTGCAAAGTAAATGTTTTTGAGCAGCTGATGCAGAGCTAGGATATTTTGCTTGAACTTTGTGTAAATGTGTAAGGGAAAGGTTTATACTTCAGACACTGTCACTGATTTTGTTTCTCCAGATAATTTTTTTAATGTTTTCTCGTCACATTTTTAGCTTGTGGTGTGACAAAAGCTTTTTTAAAGTGTCTAAAAAATTAGCATTTCATGAGCTCATAAAATGTTTCAAAACGTTTGTTGTTTAAAATAGTTTCGATGCTCGCACCACAGGACACATTCAGAAAGGAAACGCCACTGATTTCTGATGGAGCGAGCGTGTAAATATTACTGATTTTGCATTAACGAGGAGGTTAATTTCCTGCGGTGTGACTGTGTGTGATTTTAAATCTCATCGTTTGTTCATGAGTTCTGTAGCCTGAGCTTTATCATGAGTATCACACACACTCTCTTCTCTCTGTCTCTGGTTCATCTGTAATCAGCACAGAGCTCCAGTGAGGCCCTGATTTGCCCTTTGACCTCTGAACTTTGACCTGAGCGTGCCATCAGCTGTTAATTAACTTCCCCTCTTACCTGCGCTGTCTCTCATTGGCTTAAATAATTTATCACAGGATATTTAATCTCTAAACTGAAGGACCGGCAGAGATCGCCTTTACCCAGCATGCCGTGGGCTAGTGATGTATTAGCATGCAGCACAGCAGCTCATTCAGATAATGTCATAGAATTCATCCTGTATTAATAATTTCCTATGAAAATGATGTTGAAACTAAATGAAAGAGAATATGTGTTATTGATGCACGTTCTGTGTGCATATAGATATATATACACACACAAATGCATATAATATATAATACACAAAATATAAATATTATATATAGAACTAGTAACGAAGGACCGTTGAGTTGCTTCATTAAAAGCTTATTATATCACTGTATTAAAAGCTCACTGTATGATGAGAGAGAGATGGAGTGTGGTTACCTGCATCTGATACAGCGTTCATTCTTCAGCTCAATCTCATATTCACAATAAAACATTAGTTTGAATGTCCGCTGAGGAAAGCGATATCTTTGTCCTACTATCATTTCATCTGTTGAGGGTGATTTCTGATGACACTGCATCTGTTAACTGCGTCTTACAAGATGTTGAAAGTAAAATAATTTCCTTGTTTACAACGCTGCTTTAGTCTCTTTCAATATAAAAGTCTTTACTGCGGACTCACTCAGAAAAACTTGTCTCTTGTCGCACCTAACCGTGGAGTAATGTCACTAAAATCACCATCACGAACACACACACTGTTTCCCAATACTACTACTATTATGTATATAATATATTATTTATTGAATAATAGTATTTAATAAACAGCAACAGCAACAGCCATCATAAAAGTTGCAAGGCAATTCAGTCAAAAGTACAAAGGCAGCGCTTTGCTATGCAACATTAAAGTTACATAAAATATAACGTGATGAGACTTTGCCCTCAGCCAAAACTATCTGCTCTGGAACAAATAATAGATTAATGAGAGCAAAGACGGGCCGTTAGAATTAACCAAAAGGAAATATATCTCATGTTTAACCACTATAGAGACATCAGAGCCGTCGGTGAACGGCCGCTGACGCCCTGGAGCTCACGTCTCCCAAAACATCAAAGCATATATTCAAATAGACGTTATCTTTATTAACAAAACGCATATTTGAAGTCTAGACATGTACATTCTCGCCTAGAAAACTCTTAAAACTACATTCCGGGACACAGAAACAGTATGATTTATAAAATTGTAGTGGATTTAGGCGTCTGCCGTGACACTCGCTGTGATTTTTATATTTTTTCATAATATATACATGTGTGTGTGTTTTGTGTTCAATCTTGCTGAATATGGTGATTATGCTCATATTGTTGCCATACTGCAGTAACTCTAAAGATTTAACATTCCAGAAAAGGGTTTTCCAGCAGCTTGTTTTTTCTGTGTTTAATGAGCGAGCACAGGAAAGGGCAGGCGGTGTGGAAGTTTGTAATTTCATTAACTACAGTATATTTATATATGCAGCTTTTTATATTCACAGATAACCTTTTGCTAGCAAACCCAGACTTTATTACAGATTAGCGAACCCAAAGGTCAGATTAGCATCAGTCAACATTCAGCTAGCAGCTAGCCGCTCTCATTCTGTCCTCTCTGTGCCAGCGCCTGGAGATTTGACTCTGTTTTAGTTCATGTGAAGTGCATGAAACACAAGCTCTGTTTGCATCCGCTGTTGTTGCATGTTTTTGTCATGGTCGCTTAACATCGACATTAGCTCTAGCGTATCCGCGCGGCGCTCCGGGGCTCCTGTGGCCCTTCCCGAAAACTGACACAGGGAATTTCTGATGTTTGCCCTTTACGTCCATACATGATTAAACAGCAAACACGAGCGTCTTTGAGCTCATTTATGCCGCTGTTTTCCTCCGCTGGTGGAGAATACTGAGAGAGAAGCTCTGAGATGAAAGAGCGATGAATATGGTTATAGATCAATAACCTTCCTCACACTCATCCTCAGTCTGTCAGATCTGGAACTGAAGCAAGTTTTATCAAACTAAACTCTAGACAAATTATACTGTACCTTTTTGTTCAGGTAGCTCTCAATACGTTTTCATATCATATTTCACCTCAAAATCCAAAACAATTCGGTGACATTATTTTCATGAAATTAAAAATAAATAAATACATATAACTAAATAAATAAATAAATAAAATGAAGAAAAAAAATCACATCGCTGCATTGTAAAAACACTTATATATGATTTAATTTTTAATTGTAATTAAGTTAACTTTTTTGACTTTAAGTAACACTCAAGCATCTTCAAAATCAAATAAAGTAAATAAATAAAACATTATAAAATAGTGAAAATTAAATTATTATTATTTTAATTTTACATGTTAAATTTTGTTTAATTTTTTTTACATATTATTTCTAATAATATTTTTAGGAGCATTTTTCTTTTTAACAAAAACCCAGTATTTGTTCTCTAAAACAGTATAAAACAATCTGTATTATAGTAATGAGAACTGAATGAGAATTTAATGAGAATAACTCAGAATTGTTATGAAAATAATGTCATGCAAATGTAAAGTACTCTTCAAACATTTGGGGTCAATTTTATTTTTTTACTTTTTAATGTTTTTGAAAGAAGTCTCTTTTGCTCACCAAGGCTGCATTTATTTGATCAAACATTTGTGAAATAATATTAATATCATTTAAAACAGCTGTTCTCTATGTGAATATGTGTTAAACTGTAATGTATTTCTGTGATGCGCAGCTGTATTTTCAGCATCATTCCTCCAGTCTTCAGTGTCACATGATCTTCAGAAATCACTATAATATGCTGATCTGCTGCTCGAGAAACATTTCTGATTATTATCAATGTTGAAAACATTAATATTTTTGTGGAAACTGTGATGCATTTTATTTTTCAGGATTCACAGATGAACAGAAAGTTCAAAAGAACAGCATTTATTTGAAATAGAAATATTTTGTAACATTATAAATGCATTTACTGTCACTTTTGATCAGTTCAATGCATCCTTGCTGAATAAAAGCATTATTTGTGTGTCCTGTGCAGTAAAGCAGTATTTTCTCTCTCGGTCTCTCTCAGTGTGTATCAGGTGGTTGTTGAGGAGGAGCGTCCTCGAAGGGCTCGTGGAGGTGAAGCGGAGATCCTGCGCTGTTATCCGCTGCCGGTTCACTATCATAACGCCAGCGGGCTGAACTCTCAGTACTACTACAGCGCTGAGTTCCCCTCCGCAGGCGTCTCATCTCCGCAGACGTTCACCGTCGGAGACAACCGGACCTACGGCGGATACTGGAACGCCCCGCTGCTGCCACACAAGAGCTACAGCATCTACTATCAGGCCGTCAGCGCCGCCAACGGGGTGTGTTCACTCAAACCAAAACTGATGATATAAAATACACTTCAAATGAAATACAAAAAAGTATGTGTGTGTGTGTGTGTGTATATATATATATATATATATATATATACACACAAACACACACATACATATGTATACAGTATATATATATATATATATATTTATAAAGCGGAGAGTTCCGGTGCTTGGCTCTGATTGGCTGAGCCGAGTTCGAAGCTGTTGTAAATGACGCTACAAAGTAACACACACCTTTGTTTACGTTTGTGTGTTGCTCGGCAACCACTTTGTAGCAACCACAACTGTTTCTGAGGAGCTACATTGTTTGGTGGAAGAACACTGTGTTTATTAATATCATTACACTTTATTTGCTCTGTTTTATTTTGTGAAACCTTACTACGTATATGGAATAACCGTTTTATAAAAGCAATAACCCCCGTGAAGCCGTGGTTTACAGTGAATTTATAACAGCTAAGAGGGTTTTAGGCACTTCGCGTCGTGTTAGCTGTTATAAATTCACTGTAAACCACGGCTTCACGGGGGTTATTGCTTTAATATATTTTAAACTTCAGTTGGTTGCCAAGGTAAAAGTTCTCCTTTCATTTTAGTTTATCTTTATTTACTAAAAATAACCAAAACAAGTAAAAAATAATATATACAAATTATATATATATATAAACAACTACTAAAATGACAAAAACAACAAAATTACCTAGCTTTAATTCAAATTAAAATAAAACTGAAAATATAAAAATAATAACTGATTCAAAATATTACATTTACACTTATGCATTTATTCAAAGCGACTTACAAAAGAGATTATATTAATAAAATGATAACAGTATCTCGAGGACAGTATCTCAACCTAAAACCATTGCAATAATTAATGTTTTTGCCTCAATTATATATCTGAAGCTGACAAATATGTCAGCAAATATAATTTTTTTAAGCAAATATTTACATTTTATTCATTTATTCAAATCGACTTACAAATCAAAAATACAACAAGTGATTATTTTGGAATTATATTTAGTGAATATTCTCATTCAAGGACTAGTTTGTACCAAGTAAAATGTATGTAAACCGAGGACATATTATGAAAGGGCTGTGGTGAACATATGCAATGTTTGCATCCATTGAGATGATCATATTCAAGTGTTTTTTCAGGTCTTGAAATTGCATTCGGATCGAGCTCAGTCATATCGACTGATGTGTTTACATGAAGGATTTTCAATACAGTTATGGATTATTTGGGTGCATGTAAATGTAGCTACTGTAAGAGCTAAAACAGATATGTGATGTTGTGATGTTGCATTGCTTTACCAGACAGCTGTATTTATTTACGTGCCAGTTTTTACTTGCATTTGGTGCTTGCATTTCCAGCACAAATATCTAAACATCCTTAAATCAAGATACATTTACTGGAGATGCAAAATGACTTAATGATATTAAGTGTTGCTTTCTGAGAAATTGATCAACATTAGGTGAGTTTATGCTTCAAACGGAAAAATATTTGCAGATGGAGTCAGAAAAATTCTATTGTTTTCCCTTTGAATCAAGCTGGTTTTCTGATCACATTGGCAGATATTTGCTCTTGTTTTAAGCATAGCTTTTGATGCTTTTTTCAGAAAACAACGTTATCTTAAGTAATCGCATGCTGATTTAAGAATGTACTGGAAAACAAGACCGAATCCTAAGTAGTAAAGTCATTTTTGCAGTGTTGAATGATAATTTCGGACGCTGTGGGAGAGACAAACGCTCTCGACGAGTGGCTCTCCACAGAAGCGCGGCGACCCGAGTCGATGAGGAAGGTAATTGTGGATAAGAAAGAGAGCGGAGGTGAAGAGAGTCCCTCCGGACGCCTCGAGCTCGACCCACGTCCTCAAAAACACACGGAAGAGGCCGTCAGGGAGCAGGTGCCGCTCGGAAAACACTTTGAGTATCACAGCGACGTTCCTCGAGGCTTTAGAGTGTCATGCGTGAATTAACTCGCTTTGACTTAATGCATCTCGCGCTCTCTCACCGTGCTTTTAAAGAAAACACGCTGTTCGGATTGACAGTCGAGCTGCTGTAAAAGGCCGTGGAAGAGCCGGCGGCTGTAATTGATGTCCTAATTGACTGAGGATCTGTGTTTTAGCCTCCTGATGGATGCAGACGGGCACTTACTGAGACGGTCCTCGGATCTGTCTATTCAAGAGCTGTAATTCATTAAATCAGGCCTTTCAGTGCCGTCAGGACGCTGGATGTGCTGCTAAATAAATGCACATTAGTGTTTGCTTTTCTTTGTAATAGCAGGACGAATGTTTGTTTATGTTGTCGTGAGTCTCGTTCAGCAGGTCAAAGGTCGTTGTTAGGCTCTAATGGACGGGTGGATGTGGAAGTGTGTGTTTAAATGCCACTGTGCAGTGTAAGATAAGCTGAAGATTAGAAAAACACTAGCCGTGATAAAACTAAAGCTTTTCAAGACCTGCTGGGAAACATGAATGATGTTGAGATGTTCAGGGTGGATGTGACAGTTGCTTATGTGGCAGCCTGCTTAAACATATTCCAGTCAGTGGTGTTAAAACAGTCTTGAAGAGCCTCTGACGACCCTTCCGGCCACACTTGTATCTTGTATACAGCGCAAAAACAAAAAAAAAATCCTCTTCTTATTGAGTGTTTGTGTCTAATTTTCCAGTATCTGGAATTCCTTATAACAACATCCATTTACTGCATAAGATATTAAGTCTAGTTTTCAGAGAATGTTTTTTTTATTTATTTTTTATTTTTTAATTTGAGTGCATTTTTTTCTCTTTTTTTTAATACTTAACACAAATGAACAAATCTGCCAGTGCAATGAGGCAAAGTATGCTTATATGAAAGAAAACAAGTCTTAATATCTTATGCAGTTTTGCTTCTCAAGTAAATTTGTCTTTTGATTTGTTTCATGCATTTTTAGATATTTTGTGGGAAATCAAGTCTAAAAAGATTACATTTAATTAAAAGCTATTTTTTGCAGGTTTTCTGTGTGATTCCTGAGACGTTTCAAGGATGTTAAGGTTTCTAGGCAGTTGCTAGGGCATTATTACGCTGTTGCACAGGTTTTGGTGGTTGCTAGGGTGTTGCTAGGTTGTTCTGAATGGATACTACGCAGTCGCCAGGCCATTGCTTGACTGTTGCACAGGTTCTGGTGGTTGCTAGGGTGTTGCTAGGTTGTTCTGAATGGATACTACGCAGTCGCCAGGCCATTGCTTGACTGTTGCACAGGTTCTGGTGGTTGCTAGGGTGTTGCTAGGTTGTTCTGAATGGATACTACGCAGTCGCCAGGCCATTGCTTGACTGTTGCACAGGTTCTGGTGGTTGCTAGGGTGTTTCTAGGGCATTGCCAAGGTGTTCTAAGTGGTTACTAATGTGTTGCTGGGCTGTTTAGAAAGACCTAAAGGATTGTGGTAATTTTAACAGATGTAGTTTGAAAGCTCTAGTAGGAGTTTCAGTCTTTTGAAACGCTGTTTATGTTCAATAACAGTATGCTGGCTTTGATAAACTGACGGAACAGGAGAGCACAGCAGTCGGCATATTAAATAGAACAGCAGTAATAAAGCAGAACAAGGTGCTTTGTTGTTGGTGTTCGTGTAGCTGAAGACTGATGTCAGACGTTAATTTGATTACAGGCGCTAAAGCGAGTCGAGCTCCAGGTGCTCGTTCTGAACGCTCACATACAGCATTCAGCTGAAATGCAGTTTTAATGCCGCAGCTGCTTAGCAGGCATAGAAAATATACCAGCATATACATCACTGGAGTCATGCAGCAGCAGAACCAGTTACTGGACTGTTTTCATTCTGCTGACAAGAGTAAAACATTACTTACTCCTGTAGAAAACACTGGAGCCACTGGAAATTCATCAGTGAACGTCACAGACGACTGATGCGCACGACACGCAATTACTGTAGATACATATCATTTATTCATTATAATAAATGCAATATAATAATAAATAATTATTATTATTAATGATCATAATAAAAACAAAAACAGAATTATAATTATATTATAATAATATATATAATATTAAAATACATTTTTGTTATTATGTTTAATTTATATAAAACCTTTCCAGAGCTCCAAAATGTTTTACAGTAGTGAAGCATAACACAGACAATGTACAGTCATGGGAAAGTGCATATTTACACAAATAAGCATATAAAATCATATAAGCACCATTAAGAATATAATTTAAAATTCAAAATAATTTGTCATTATTCTGGATTTTTGACACGGTTAATCTCAAAAGTCCCGATCACAGAGGATGTTGAAGAATATCACAGTGTATCAATCAATTAATCAATCAGTCAACCGTGTTTATTTCTGTAGCACATTTAGAAACAGCACATGTTGGCCAAAGTAAATAATTATTTGTTCGATTGAATCATTCAAGAGTTTTTTATGTATTTTTGTTTTTCAGGAGACCAAAATCGACTGCGTCCGTGTCGCTACCAAAGGTAGGTATTCTAATTTATGCAAGCGGACATTAAAAATGTAATTAATTTGAGACACGTGCATGGAATCAGCATGACGAAGCAGTGACTGATATTTGACGGACCAAACAGACACTGTTAGTGTTGTAGCCTGATTCGGTTTCTGAAACGGTTCACACGCTGCACTTGTCCAGTCAATGTTATTAACCTTGTAAATATGCAAATAAGCACATTAACCTGGGGTTAATTACTAACTCAGGTTAAAGTAAGAGCAACGTGAGACGAGAGACATGACGACCTGGGATTATAAATGAGCGTGTGTGAAGACGAAGCGCTGCATGGTTCTGCTTTTGTGTGTGTCTTGTGCAGGTTTTCAGTAACTGCTCGTTTTCTTCTTTCTCCTGTTTGTTTCTACTGTCTCTCTCTCTCACACACACACACACACACACACACACTGATTCTCTCTGTCTTTCTGCATGTGTGTGGATCTTGTTCTTGCAGCTGCTATCTTGGTGACGCAGCTCACCACTCCTTACGTTCGCATCGCTCCGGCCGCTGGAGACAACCAGCTAACAGGTCAGAAACTCACTCACTCACTGCATGTGTGTGTGGATGAACTGAAGAATCTGTCTCTAACATAATCTTGGCAGAGATAAAGCGCCGATTACATCAACTTGTGCAGTGTTCAGTGTTATTTTAGTGTTGTTGACGTTTTTAAGTACTATTTAAATTAGTTTTTTTTTTTGTTAAATTTTTGTTGTTTTTTTGTTGTTGCATGATTTTATCATTTTATTATTTTTGAATATGTCTATATAATTTTTATTCATTTGTATATTAGTTTTAGTTAAGTTAAACCAAAATGCTGAATGTTGTCTTGGTAACTAGCTGAAATAAAACAAGTTTTTTATATTTTATTTCAGTGAATTTTTATTTTATTTCAAAGCTTTTTTATGGGTTTAGTTAATGATAATAACTGAACGACCCTCCATTAACCCAACGTCCTCTTTTAGTAAGAAATATGTCAAAACAAGAAAGTTATTTGCACTCATTGTATGAGTTTTTCAAACGTATGAAGCTAAACGTGAATTTAGGTGTTTTTAAGCCCATAAAGTATCTCAGACAAATATGTTTCTTTAAACGCAAGCAGATCTCTCTCATTTGTCATCGCAAACTCTCTCTGTCATTACCAGACTGATGCACATGAGCTACATTTATTGCGTTGTGCTTTATATTCAAGGTTGAAATAGACCCATGATTTGATATAATCAGCGGATGAATGTGGTTCTTCTGATTCGGCTGCAGCGACAAACACATTTACTGACCAACAAAGAGAAAAAAACATGGAACCTGAAATGAATTAAATGAGAAACACAAATTATTTCCTGTATGTTTCCTACTGAAACAGGAAGTTAAGGATTCCGGCCCTATCCCTGAGCAGGAAATGATGTCATCAGTATTCTGTACATTTTTAATATCTATATCTGCTGCTTTATTTTATTTGATCAGTGCATACTTTCAGTTGTACACAAGCATATTGATGAGCTCAAAACTATAGACAACAATGAAATGTTATGTTTAAATATGAAATGAGGTATCATCTAATCTAATTTCCAGAACATAAATCTGAACGTTGGATAAAGCAAGGTTCAGAATTCTCATTTGATTTTGGTGACATATTAGAGTTAAACGTTTTTACTGGGGTGATTTTGGATTTCTCTTTTTACATTTACATTTAATCATTTAGCAAACGCTTTTATCCAAAGCGACTTACAAACGAGAAGAACAATAGAAGCAATCAGACCAGCAAGAGAGCAACAGTATACAAGTGATGTGACTAGTTAGTCTAGCACAGTACACGTAGCAAGGTTTATTTTTAAATAAATTAGAAAAAAAAGAATAGATACAGTAAGTGCTAGTATTAGTTGGTCAGGTGTTGACGAAAAATATGTGTCTTTAGACGTTTTCTGAAAATGGCTAAAGACTCAGCTGTTCGCACTGAGAGAGGCATATTGTTCCAGCAGCTGGGAATAGTGCAGGAAAAGGTCAATGAGAGTGATTTTGTGCCTCTTTGGGATGGCACCACGAGGCATCGTTCACTTGCAGAATGCAAGCTTCTGGAGCGCGCATAAGTCTGAACAAGCGAGTTTAGGTATATTGGTGAAGAGCCAGTGGTTATCTTGTAGGCAAACATCAGTACCTTGAATTTGATGTGAGTAGCTATTGGCAGCCAGTGCATACTGATGAAGAGAGATGTGACATGAGCTTTCTTCGGCTCGTTGAAGACCACTCTGGCTGCTGCATTCTGGATCAATTGCAGAGGCTTGATAGTACATGCCAGAAGACCCGCCAAGAGAGCATTACAATAGTCCAGTCTGGAGAGAACAAGAGCTTGGACAAGGAGTTGTGTGGCCTGCTCTGATAGGAAGGGTCTAATCTTCCTAATGTTGTATAAGGCAAATCTGCAGGACCGCGTCATTGTAGCAATATGGTCTGTGAAGCTTAACTGATCATCCATCACAACTCCAAGGTTTCTGGCTGTCCTGAAAGGAGATATGGTTGACAAACCTAGCTGTATAGTGAAGTTGTGATGGCTGAGACCACGAGCAGTTCTGTCTTAGCAAGGTTGAGTTGAAGGTGATAGTCCTTCATCCAGCCAGAGATGTCTGTCAGACAGGCTGCAATGCAAACAGCTACCGTCAGATGTAATGAGAAGAGTTGAGTGTCATCAGCATAGCAGTGATAAGAAAAGCCATGCTTCTGAATGACAGATCCTAATGATGACATATAGATGGAGAAGAGAAGCGGTCCAAGCACTGAGCCTTGAGGAACCCCAGTAGCAAGAAGTTGTGACTTAGAAACCTCACCCCTCCAAGACACCCTGAAGGAACTAACTGAGAGTTAAGACTTGAACCACTGGAGTGTGGTTCCTGAGATGCCCATCTTCATGAGGGTTGACAGGAGAATCTGGTGGTTAACGGTGTCAGAAGCAGCAGACAGATCCAGCAAGATGAGTACTGAGGATTTGAAAGCTGCTCTTGCCATTCTCAGGGCTTCAGTAACCGAGAGCAGGGCAGTCTCAGTTGAGTGGCCGCTTTTGTAGCCAGATTGGTTGTTGTCCAGGAGGTTGTTCTGTGCAAGAAACATAGAGAGTTGGTTGAACACAACTCGCTCAAGTGTCTTTGCAATGAATGGAAGAAGGGATACCGGTCTGTAGTTTTCTAAAAGTGCTGGATTTAGAGAGGGTTTCTTAAACAGTGGGGTTATCCGAGCCTGATTAAATGCTGTGGGACCTGTACCAGTGTGAAGAGAGGTGTTGATGATGTGAGTGAGTGCAGGTATAACTGAAGCAGAAATGGCCTGAAGGAGGTGAGTGGGGATAGGATCAATCGAACAGGTAGTAGGATGATTGTAAAGGATAAGTTTGGAAACTTCTGCCTCCGAGAGTGGAGAGGAGGGGGAGAGAGAGTGTGTATTTGTTGTTATGATGTGTTTGTCAGTTTGTGGTGTGGAGAATTGGCCGCTGATTGTTCTTGTTTTATTTATGAAGAATATTGCAAAGTCGTCAGCTGTAAGACGTGGTGAAGGAGTCAGAACAGTATTTAATTTGGTTGTGGTAGTTTGTTTTTATCACTCCATAAATCAGAAAATACTGCCAACAGACAGAAAACAAATACATTTTCACCATGTTTTTAGGAATAAAATGTCTTATAAATCAGTGTGAATGACATATGAACAAACCCCTCAGTAAAAACCTTCAGAATAAAGAGAGGAATAAAACTAAGTTTTGGTGTAAGTAAGTGTTACTAAAGTGGAGAAATGTTTTTTTAAAGATAGATAAAGTGCAATAGAATAAACACTTGATGTGTATTTTCATTGTTCTCTTTCCACTCGTCTCCATGAAGACATGTTATGAAGCTAAATAAATCAAAATCTCTGAATTGAGCAGTGCATGAAGTGTAGTGTCTTGCCTCAAACCATCTTCTGTATGACCTTTGACCTTTGGTTGATCTCAGGCGCGGCGACGCACAAACCCAACGCGGTGGAGCCGGAGAAACAGACCGACCACACAGTGAAGATCGCCGGCGTCATCGCAGGAATACTGCTCTTCGTCATCATCTTCCTCGGCGTGGTGCTGCTCATGAAGAAACGGTAAGAACCTCAACACACACACACACACACACACAGTGAAGATGATCGGTTACACTATTTTTACCACATTTAAGGATGACAACACGCATCAGGAAGTGCCGCCGTTAACCAAAGTTTGGACACACGTGACTCAGTTTATGTTAAGAACTTTTCATCTAAAGACCTCTGCTTAAATGTGTGAAATTACACTCAAAACATACGGTATTTAGGCCTAAATTAAAATGTTATGTATTTGAATTGCATTTAAATTTTCTATTCATTCAGATTACACAGTTTTAACATAAACACTTTTACTTATAAACTTAATCTGATGCTTGTTGATATTTATCAGTCATACATTATTGAAAGAGGGCAAGTTTCTGTAATAGTGCTAATAATCTGAATGTGTTTTAAATACACAATAACTAGGTTTATATATTTAGCATAAAATAATTGATGATATCATTCAATCTCATACATTTGAGCCGATTCAATATTGCTTGTTCCACAGCTAGTCATATTTTAACAATTTCCATGCCAAAACCATGTTTTTACTTTAAAAAAAATGAATAAATATTGTTTTCACAATGAAAAGATTTATGCATAAATAAATGCATTTTAAAAATATGATTTTAAAATCAAATCAAATTGATGCAAATAATGAATTATTCCATTAATTTTTGGGATGCAGTGTTTCATATGTTGTTTTGATCTGCATATACATTAGTGTTAGATTTCCGTTCATACTGATGCTGATGCTTTTATCCAAAACTAATTCAAATTTTGTGTTTTCAATGCATGAATTCCCTAGAAATCCAACAGGAAGAAACTCTGCTATTTCAGTGTCCTGTGACTATTATTCTAACCTGGATATTAATATTAATTAGGAATGAGCAGATGTATCCAAACTTTTGTCTCATCCGCAGTCAGATCAGGACTTTGTGTTTTTGTCTAGAGTTTAACCGCAGATATTAATAATAGATTTCCCTTCCGATTTCCGCCTGACCTTTCATCCGCATCATCTATGCAACACTGAATTATTAATCTAATTATGTTGATAAGCCTGGTTAAAATGCTGTATAATAGCCTGATAAAGAGCCGCTCTCCCGATGACCCTGCATCACAAAAAGACGAGGGAATCTCAGTAGATCCGTGATTGTGTGACTGATGAAAGTGCGTCGTTAGCTGGAGCCTAGTTTACATTAGCTGCCCGCAGATCAAGGGTCATCCGGAGTCAGTTTCGGCAGATATCCAGCTCACACACTTGCTCCAGATTAACCTTCTGCCCTGCTGAATATAAAACAGCCCAATCCAGAAAGCTTTAGAGCCACTACAGTAAATATAATAGTCGTTTACAGTCATGAATTTGAACTATATACCGTTTATAGACAGTGAAACTCACACACGTCTATCTAAACATCTGTGGTGAATGTGAGCGCACACAGTTTTGTCTGTTGTCATCAACTCAGCTATAATTGCAGGTTTATTATTGCTGCTTTCTTGTAATTCTATTTCCATTTATTTATTTAATCAGGGAAAATACACATTAGTAATTAATGAAATCAATGTAAAATGTGTCAGGGTGACTAATTTTGATCTGTCATCCCAGGGCAGATTTTTTAAAAATCAATACATAAATACAAAATATTTAACACAATTTTGATTTGACAACAACCAATGTTTAAATTTTTTGGAGAAACAATGACTTTATAAATCTTTTAATTTGGGTACTTGTTCTTTAAGTTACACCTGAATCTACGGAGTGTTATTTTAATATAATTCCGATAGTATGATAGCTTTTATTAATATTTTGAATTTGTTTTTTATTTTTTCCAAATTTTTGTTAAAGTTTTAGCAATTGTTTTGCCATTTCTTGTTTTTTAAAAATAGTCCATACAGTTTTTGTTAATTTTTATTTGAGTTTTAGTTTTAGTTATTTTAGTACATCAAGTTAAACTAATTAAAAATTTGAATTGTTGCCTTGGAAACTAGCTGAAATAAAATAAGTTTGTTTTTTGTATTTTATTTCAGTTAATGTTCATTTTAAATTAGGGCTGCAACATCTAATCAATAAAGTCGATTATAATTGATAATAAAAAGTAATCTACAACAAATTTGATTATCAATGAATCACTTCTGTGTGCTGTGAAGAAAAACAGAGACAACATTTTTAATATTGACGTAAAATGAATTGTTTTTATTAAAATTATTACATTTTAATAGTTAATAATATTTGGATTTGTGTCCGATTAATCAAAGAAATCATTTACAGATTAATCGATTATCAAAATGATTATTAGTTGCAGCCCTATTTTTAAAGTTTTACTTTTAGTTCCAAACTAAAAGATGCAATATTTGCAAGGAATATTTGGAAATGTGTAATTCCTACTGGCACAAATGATATACTCGTAAATACTCGTGATGTTGTTGTGAAGCATCTGATATGTGGTCGTTTGCACGGTTTCTGTGTGTATGAATGTGAATAAAGCAGTGGTTCTCAACCCTGGGGAAAACTTTGCATTATTTAAATGCAGTTATATTAACATAATATTCATTGAAATGCTATTAAAACATTCTAACATCATTTTGGGGTTTATTTGTATTGCAGAGGCTTGATAGTACATGCCAGAAGACCCGCCAAGAGAGCATTACAATAGTCCAGTCTGGAGAGAACAAGAGCTTGGACAAGGAGTTGTGTGGCCTGCTCTGATAGGAAGGGTCTAATCTTCCTAATGTTGTATAAGGCAAATCTGCAGGACCGCGTCATTGTAGCAATATGGTCTGTGAAGCTTAACTGATCATCCATCACAACTCCAAGGTTTCTGGCTGTCCTGAAAGGAGATATGGTTGACAAACCTAGCTGTATAGTGAAGTTGTGATGGCTGAGACCACGAGCAGTTCTGTCTTAGCAAGGTTGAGTTGAAGGTGATAGTCCTTCATCCAGCCAGAGATGTCTGTCAGACAGGCTGCAATGCAAACAGCTACCGTCAGATGTAATGAGAAGAGTTGAGTGTCATCAGCATAGCAGTGATAAGAAAAGCCATGCTTCTGAATGACAGATCCTAATGATGACATATAGATGGAGAAGAGAAGCGGTCCAAGCACTGAGCCTTGAGGAACCCCAGTAGCAAGAAGTTGTGACTTAGAAACCTCACCCCTCCAAGACACCCTGAAGGAACTAACTGAGAGTTAAGACTTGAACCACTGGAGTGTGGTTCCTGAGATGCCCATCTTCATGAGGGTTGACAGGAGAATCTGGTGGTTAACGGTGTCAGAAGCAGCAGACAGATCCAGCAAGATGAGTACTGAGGATTTGAAAGCTGCTCTTGCCATTCTCAGGGCTTCAGTAACCGAGAGCAGGGCAGTCTCAGTTGAGTGGCCGCTTTTGTAGCCAGATTGGTTGTTGTCCAGGAGGTTGTTCTGTGCAAGAAACATAGAGAGTTGGTTGAACACAACTCGCTCAAGTGTCTTTGCAATGAATGGAAGAAGGGATACCGGTCTGTAGTTTTCTAAAAGTGCTGGATTTAGAGAGGGTTTCTTAAACAGTGGGGTTATCCGAGCCTGATTAAATGCTGTGGGACCTGTACCAGTGTGAAGAGAGGTGTTGATGATGTGAGTGAGTGCAGGTATAACTGAAGCAGAAATGGCCTGAAGGAGGTGAGTGGGGATAGGATCAATCGAACAGGTAGTAGGATGATTGTAAAGGATAAGTTTGGAAACTTCTGCCTCCGAGAGTGGAGAGGAGGGGGAGAGAGAGTGTGTATTTGTTGTTATGATGTGTTTGTCAGTTTGTGGTGTGGAGAATTGGCCGCTGATTGTTCTTGTTTTATTTATGAAGAATATTGCAAAGTCGTCAGCTGTAAGACGTGGTGAAGGAGTCAGAACAGTATTTAATTTGGTTGTGGTAGTTTGTTTTTATCACTCCATAAATCAGAAAATACTGCCAACAGACAGAAAACAAATACATTTTCACCATGTTTTTAGGAATAAAATGTCTTATAAATCAGTGTGAATGACATATGAACAAACCCCTCAGTAAAAACCTTCAGAATAAAGAGAGGAATAAAACTAAGTTTTGGTGTAAGTAAGTGTTACTAAAGTGGAGAAATGTTTTTTTAAAGATAGATAAAGTGCAATAGAATAAACACTTGATGTGTATTTTCATTGTTCTCTTTCCACTCGTCTCCATGAAGACATGTTATGAAGCTAAATAAATCAAAATCTCTGAATTGAGCAGTGCATGAAGTGTAGTGTCTTGCCTCAAACCATCTTCTGTATGACCTTTGACCTTTGGTTGATCTCAGGCGCGGCGACGCACAAACCCAACGCGGTGGAGCCGGAGAAACAGACCGACCACACAGTGAAGATCGCCGGCGTCATCGCAGGAATACTGCTCTTCGTCATCATCTTCCTCGGCGTGGTGCTGCTCATGAAGAAACGGTAAGAACCTCAACACACACACACACACACACACACAGTGAAGATGATCGGTTACACTATTTTTACCACATTTAAGGATGACAACACGCATCAGGAAGTGCCGCCGTTAACCAAAGTTTGGACACACGTGACTCAGTTTATGTTAAGAACTTTTCATCTAAAGACCTCTGCTTAAATGTGTGAAATTACACTCAAAACATACGGTATTTAGGCCTAAATTAAAATGTTATGTATTTGAATTGCATTTAAATTTTCTATTCATTCAGATTACACAGTTTTAACATAAACACTTTTACTTATAAACTTAATCTGATGCTTGTTGATATTTATCAGTCATACATTATTGAAAGAGGGCAAGTTTCTGTAATAGTGCTAATAATCTGAATGTGTTTTAAATACACAATAACTAGGTTTATATATTTAGCATAAAATAATTGATGATATCATTCAATCTCATACATTTGAGCCGATTCAATATTGCTTGTTCCACAGCTAGTCATATTTTAACAATTTCCATGCCAAAACCATGTTTTTACTTTAAAAAAAATGAATAAATATTGTTTTCACAATGAAAAGATTTATGCATAAATAAATGCATTTTAAAAATATGATTTTAAAATCAAATCAAATTGATGCAAATAATTAATAATGAATTATTCCATTAATTTTTGGGATGCAGTGTTTCATATGTTGTTTTGATCTGCATATACATTAGTGTTAGATTTCCGTTCATACTGATGCTGATGCTTTTATCCAAAACTAATTCAAATTTTGTGTTTTCAATGCATGAATTCCCTAGAAATCCAACAGGAAGAAACTCTGCTATTTCAGTGTCCTGTGACTATTATTCTAACCTGGATATTAATATTAATTAGGAATGAGCAGATGTATCCAAACTTTTGTCTCATCCGCAGTCAGATCAGGACTTTGTGTTTTTGTCTAGAGTTTAACCGCAGATATTAATAATAGATTTCCCTTCCGATTTCCGCCTGACCTTTCATCCGCATCATCTATGCAACACTGAATTATTAATCTAATTATGTTGATAAGCCTGGTTAAAATGCTGTATAATAGCCTGATAAAGAGCCGCTCCCCCGATGACCCTGCATCACAAAAAGACGAGGGAATCTCAGTAGATCCGTGATTGTGTGACTGATGAAAGTGCGTCGTTAGCTGGAGCCTAGTTTACATTAGCTGCCCGCAGATCAAGGGTCATCCGGAGTCAGTTTCGGCAGATATCCAGCTCACACACTTGCTCCAGATTAACCTTCTGCCCTGCTGAATATAAAACAGCCCAATCCAGAAAGCTTTAGAGCCACTACAGTAAATATAATAGTCGTTTACAGTCATGAATTTGAACTATATACCGTTTATAGACAGTGAAACTCACACACGTCTATCTAAACATCTGTGGTGAATGTGAGCGCACACAGTTTTGTCTGTTGTCATCAACTCAGCTATAATTGCAGGTTTATTATTGCTGCTTTCTTGTAATTCTATTTCCATTTATTTATTTAATCAGGGAAAATACACATTAGTAATTAATGAAATCAATGTAAAATGTGTCAGGGTGACTAATTTTGATCTGTCATCCCAGGGCAGATTTTTTAAAAATCAATACATAAATACAAAATATTTAACACAATTTTGATTTGACAACAACCAATGTTTAAATTTTTTGGAGAAACAATGACTTTATAAATCTTTTAATTTGGGTACTTGTTCTTTAAGTTACACCTGAATCTACGGAGTGTTATTTTAATATAATTCCGATAGTATGATAGCTTTTATTAATATTTTGAATTTGTTTTTTATTTTTTCCAAATTTTTGTTAAAGTTTTAGCAATTGTTTTGCCATTTCTTGTTTTTTAAAAATAGTCCATACAGTTTTTGTTAATTTTTATTTGAGTTTTAGTTTTAGTTATTTTAGTACATCAAGTTAAACTAATTAAAAATTTGAATTGTTGCCTTGGAAACTAGCTGAAATAAAATAAGTTTGTTTTTTGTATTTTATTTCAGTTAATGTTCATTTTAAATTAGGGCTGCAACATCTAATCAATAAAGTCGATTATAATTGATAATAAAAAGTAATCTACAACAAATTTGATTATCAATGAATCACTTCTGTGTGCTGTGAAGAAAAACAGAGACAACATTTTTAATATTGACGTAAAATGAATTGTTTTTATTAAAATTATTACATTTTAATAGTTAATAATATTTGGATTTGTGTCCGATTAATCAAAGAAATCATTTACAGATTAATCGATTATCAAAATGATTATTAGTTGCAGCCCTATTTTTAAAGTTTTACTTTTAGTTCCAAACTAAAAGATGCAATATTTGCAAGGAATATTTGGAAATGTGTAATTCCTACTGGCACAAATGATATAGTCGTAAATACTCGTGATGTTGTTGTGAAGCTTCTGATATGTGGTCGTTTGCACGGTTTCTGTGTGTATGAATGTGAATAAAGCAGTGGTTCTCAACCCTGGGGAAAACTTTGCATTATTTAAATGCAGTTATATTAACATAATATTCATTGAAATGCTATTAAAACATTCTAACATCATTTTGGGGTTTATTTGTATTTTTTAAGGAGTGAGAGAGGTTGAGAAGCGCTGCTGTAGAGTCTTTGGTTCTGTTTCTGAATGTCGTTTGCATGAAGAGACGGGTTTATTTCACACACACACACACACACGCGTGTCCAATAATCCCAAACACCGGATTCACCAGATTTCCCTCCCGGAGAGATGAGCGCTGATCACTCCGCAGACATTCTAATTGAATCCCGTTCAATATGCTTTAATCAGATGAACGAGCGCGATTGAATCTCCCGCATCTATTTGGTTTAATTTGCTGAATTAGATTAGAACGTGAGGAGAACATGCTAATTCCTCATTTAAGGCCGAGAGCACGCTCTGGACGCTGCATCTGGTCATTTAGAGCGCAAATGTTTTTATAGTCCTCTAATTACATCCTGAAAAAGAGGAGATGCATTGAGGAAGAGGAATTAATGTAGGTTTTATTGCTAATGTGCAGTGATGTATCTGTGCTCTGACTGACCTTTCACACACGACATCGTCCTCATAAAGACGTATTAATGCAGAGCAGATACAGCTGTGTTATACACTACCAGGCCAAAGTAAGAAAGAAGTCTCTTCTGCTCAGCAAGGCCGCATTTATTTGATCAAAAATGCAGTAAAAATAGTGAAATATTATTATAATGTAAAACAGCTGTGTTGTCTATGTGAATATGTGTTAAACTGTAATGTATTTCTGTGATGCGCAGCTGTATTTTCAGCATCATTCCTCCAGTCTTCAGTGTCACATGATCTTCAGAAATCAGTATAATATGCAGATCTGCTGCTCAAGAAACATTTCTGATTATTATCAATGTTGAAAACAGTTGTGCTGCTTCCATTCAAAAGTTTGAAGCGAGTAAGATTGAATAGAAATTAATAATTTTATTCAGCATTAAACTGATAAAAAGTGACAGTAAAGACATTTATAATGTTACAGAAGATTTCTATTTCAAATAAATGCTGTTCTTATGAACTTTCTATTCATCTGTGAATCCTGAAAAATAAAATGCATCACAGTTTCCACAAAAATATTAATGTTTTCAACATTGATGATAATCAGAAATGTTTCTCGAGCAGCAGATCAGCATATTATACTGATTTCTGAAGATCATGTGACACTGAAGACTGGAGGAATGATGCTGAAAATACAGCTGCACATCACAGAAATAAATTAAATTTTAACAGATATTCACATAGAAACAGCTTTTTTAGATTCTAATAATAATTTCACAATTTTTACTGCATTTTTGATCAAATAAACGCAGTCTTGAGACTCTTTCAGAAACCTTAAACTGATTCCAGACTTGTGAGCAGTAGTTGTTAATTCACCCAGACGAACACAAACACACTCACAGAAATAAATTAAATTTTAACAGATATTCACATAGAAACAGCTTTTTTAGATTCTAATAATATTTCACAATTTTTACTGCATTTTTGATCAAATAAACACAGCCTTGAGACTCTTTCAGAAACCTTAAACTGATTCCAGACTTGTGAGCAGTAGTTGTTAATTCACCCAGACGAACACAAACACACGTACATATGAATGTATACAAGTCATGTGACCCTCTGGTTGGTCATGTGGTCAGCGTTTGCGCAGTGACCGCCGTGCATCTCTCTTTCTCACGAATGCCACCATGTCTGCTTCTGTTCATTTTCTATCGTTTCGGAACATTAATATATTTTACTTTTTCTTTCCTTCCATCTTCATCTTCCCCTCCACTGCTTAAACCCCTCCACCACCTCACTGGGCAGGAGAACCTATCAGTCCTACACTTACTACCTGTGAGTAAAACACCTTTGTACACTGTTAGTGCCATGCTATGCTCGACCTGCATGACTCCGGCACCTCGAGGGCACGAGAGTTAACATTCGGCTGTGCATTTCAATCAGAAAGTGTTATCTGTAATTGTTATGATCATGAGCTGGATATTGCTAACGCCGTCTTGAAGTTGTGATGTGATTCTCCATCATCTGCTGTCCAATGCTTGTCTGTGAATGCTGTAGCTCCTCCAATCAGAGCCTTGGTTTGATTACTGAGGATTCATTTACAGTCCATGTGGTTTTGTACTTTCCCAAGGAAAGTTCTCCTTGTCTTTCTGTTGCCCAGCTCAGGGAAGGGAAGCGCGCTTTTCCTTAAACACCTGAAATTACCCTTCATCTCATAAATCATCATCATTAATCGCAGTCATCGCAGTTTTCCTGCATGGTTGGTGCTCGCTGCATGAAGTCGAATGAAGTCCATCAGCCGATTCTCCATCATCTGCTGTCCAATGCTTGTCTGTGAATGCTGTAGCTCCTCCAATCAGAGCCTTGGTTTGATTACTGAGGATTCATTTACAGTCCATGTGGTTTTGTACTTTCCCAAGGAAACTTCTCCTTGTCTTTCTGTTGCCCAGCTCAAGGAAGGGAAGCGCGCTTTTCCTTAAACACCTGAAATTACCCTTCATCTCATAAATCATCATCATTAATCGCAGTCATCGCAGTTTTCCTGCATGGTTGGTGCTCGCTGCATGAAGTCGAATGAAGTCCATCATGTCCTGATGTTTTCCTGGATGCTTGATCTGTGCTGGTTTTTGTTTGTTTGTTTGTCATGCGGAGCTGTTTGCTTATTTATATGAGTGGGAATCAACGATTGGGTTTTGTTCAGACCAGATGCATTTATTAGAAAAGTGCTGGAACCAATTGAAAATACTCTTACAGTGTTTCCCGCGCTATGGGAAAGAGATAGTTTTAGCTCATTTGTGAGATTGATTGTAACCTTGAGTTTCCATTTAATTCATTTTTTTTTTATCTTGAATTTATTTAGTTTTAGTAATTTTAGTATTTCAACTTACAGTAACAAAAACAATAGTAACTATTTAGTTACTGCCAGGACATTATAATTTTTTTCCCCTTTTATTAGTTTTTTTTTAATTATATTTCTATTTATCTTTTTTTTCCGTTTTAGTAAACCCGCGCTATGGGAAAGAGATAGTTTTAGCTCATTTGTGAGATTGATTGTAACCTTGAGTTTCCATTTAATTCATTTTTTTTTTATCTTGAATTTATTTAGTTTTAGTAATTTTAGTACTTCAACTTACAGTAACAAAAACAATAGTAACTATTTAGTTACTGCCAGGACATTATAATTTTTTTCCCCTTTTATTAGTTTTTTTTAAATTATATTTCTATTTATCTTTTTTTTCCGTTTTAGTAAATGTAATACTTCAACTATTCAACTAAATTATTTTATTTCAGTTAGTGCCAGGGCAACACATATAATTTTATTGATTAAGTATATCTTTATAATTATTAAGTATAATCAAATTTTTTTTTATTTAATCTAATATTTATATTTTATTTATTAAAAGGTGTATATATATATATAGCTCCTCTCCGCGCTCACACCGTCCGTGGCTTTCTCCTTCGTGGCAGGCGTTGTTGCCAGCTCACACACCTTGACTGACGTCACGGCCTCTGGCTCCACGGCGATCCTCAGCTCTATCGCGCTCTCTAGCGATGGCTCGTCGGTCGCGGCGGGCTCTGGGTCTCCGTCAGCAGTGGGCTCGGGCGTGCGCATCGGGGAGATGGTGGGATGGGCTCTGGGTCGGGAGTGGCACTGGCGATTAATTCCTGGGAGCCGGCAGGGAACGGAGATCCATTTCTCACAGTGTCCACTCCACAAAGGCTGCGAATTCAGCTCGAGGGCCATCTTCGGACGACAGCGCTCTGCACGCGGTGCTGAGGCTGGCATCATAGAACGCGCAGAGCGCGTCGTCCGGATAGGTGGTGAGATGGGCCACAGCCAGAAACAGTCTGGTATGACCCTCGAGCGAATTTTCCCCCTGCTCCAGCAGGAGGAGGATGAATTCGGGGCGAAGGAGGGAATCCATAGGGCACACAACAGAAACAAAAAAACTGAGTAAAAAGAGTAACAAAGCGGAGGGTACAAACGGAGGTAACTGTATCGGTCAGGTCTTCTGTCACAATTCACTCGGGGAGCAAGGAACGAGGAGTTCTTGAATAACACTTTAATAATCCACAGGAAAACCGAGAACAAGGAGGACATTCAACAAGTAGACCCGACAAACAAGAACTGAAAGAACTAGGGCTTTTAAAAGGCAGGATATTTGGGGAAGAACGAGACACACCTGAAATCAAATTAACTCAATCAACATGAGGGAGAAACTGGGTCACAGGGGCAAAAACACATAGAAAAGTCCATAATCCTGACAGTGTCTGATTACAGAATCAATAACTCTTATAAACCATTTTATTTTAAATAAATGAGTGAAAAGGAATTACTGTAACAATTTAACCCACTCATTGAATCATCACAAGTTTTTATTTTTGCCATACAGAAATTAAGATTTCAGATTCTCTGAAGTCAGTTAATGGTCACATGGCATGCAGATAAATAAATCAAATATTGTTTGTTTTGTTTAACTTTATTAATCCAGTCAAGTCGGTTATTCATTATATTATTAAAATCTTTAAATTTTGTATTTTAATTTTACATTTTAATGATTTTATTAATTATTAGCTTTTCATTAACTATCAATTAATTAAAAATGAGAAATATTTTTATTTGTTTTTATTTTTATACTTTCATTTAATTTTAATTAGTTTGAGTAATTTTATAGTGTTTTTGATTTGTATTATTATTGTTTTAGTTTCAGTTTTAGTTATTTTAGTACATTAAAATGTGCATTAACTAAAGTGTTTCCTTAGCAACAGGCTAAACTAAAATAATACATAAAATAAAAATAATAATAAATAAAGTGTGTAATAAATAAAAATGTAAAAAAATAAATAAATAAAATATTTTAATTTATTTGATTTCAGTTCATGCTTATTTTAAGTGAGGTTTTTTTTCTGTGGTTTTATGTTTTAGTTCAGTTAGGGTCACGTGGATTATTAGTTAATGTTAATATGAACAGCTGTAAGTTAATTCTAACGGTTATGAGTTAATAGGTTCATTAATCTATATTTAAGTCATACAGTGAAGACTATGCCATGCTATTTTACATTTGATTATTTGGATTCTGTACCTGAACACCTACAAACCTGAAAAAATCAAATCGTTGTTTAATTTGTATCTTTGTTCTGTTTATTTATTTGTGCAATTTGCACGATTTCAAACGAGGCCCTCAGGTACAACCTGCACTTGGGCCCCGCAAACCCCAGCTTACATTTAAACTCATATAACAAGCGTTTTAGAAATAAAAAGCGTAACATTCAAGAGAAGCATTTTAATTAAACTCTTCTCTGTAACCCTGGAAAAAACAGCCCAACATAATGACCCAACAGGCTCAACCCAGCATTCTTTAGACTGTGCTGTTTCAGTCTTTCTACATCATTTCCAACATCGATTCTTTGTAACGATTTGTGAAATTTACCAGTGATTTCTGAGTGTAAACTGTTTAGTGTGGGAGCGGAATCTAAATCTGTCTGCTGAGTGGAGATTGAGTTTTCCCTCAGATGTTCCTGCGGAGGAGCTGAACTTTGTCCTGATGGAATATGGCGTGTTGTTTAGCGAGGCTAATCTCATGGCGGTGTAACCCGTTCGCTCTGCTCATCACTCATGACTTCTGCTGATGTTCAAGCTTTAATGGAGTTTGTAGTTTGTAGAAACTTGGTGCATCTGCTTACTTTGTGGTTTGGCTCCGTTTCCAAGATCTCATTGGAAATTACCTGCGGATCCGCTTTGGGAAGTCGAGCCTCAGGCAAGGAACCACATGCTAATTTCCCTCCCACGGATTGGCTGAGTACTTTGGCCTCATTTGCATTTGCGGATCGTTAGCAGATGAAGGCAGGTTAACTAAATTAAAGCAGAACTCCATTATTCTCTAACATCTGCTCTGGCGTTGAGATGCGTGTTGGAGAACACGCGTGTGCGGCTGTAATCACGGAGAGCCGGTGCTCCTCGAGGCTCTTGGTGGGGCATTGATTAGAATTATATCAGGGTTTAATTGGGAGGGTGACTCTGGCATCTTAATCAGGCCCTGCTCATTAAAATTAGCCTCTTTTGATTAGTTTAATGGCTGACCACCTTGAGTGTTTCTTCAGCACTGCTCTTTGCTCACTAAAATACATTTGTTGAACTAACCTCTCGCCCTGTTCCTCATTTACAGCGTTAAAGGCATTCTGTGTTCAGAACTAAATACTTGCACAGTTTTAAATACATGAATACAGGATGAAACTATAAACTTTTCAAACTGTACATTCTTATATAATAGCCACTTTAATTCAGTGAGTTACGTCTAGAAATTATTCATTTTAAATCAGTGTCAAATATTATGGAGCCAAACCGTAGTTATTATAGTTAACTAAAATTAAAACATTAAAAAAAGTTACTTAAAATAAATGTTAACTGAAAATGTTTTTATAAAATGCAAAACATAAAAATATGTTTTACTTAAGCTTGTTGCCAAAGCAACATTTCTCATTCATTTGGTACTAAACAGGGTTATTATATTTAACTGAAACTAAAACTAAAAATATGATCATTTATTTTGATATATTAAAATACATTTTACATTTCTTACTTAAAATGAACATTTACTGAAATAAAATAAAATACAAAAAAAGCCATTATTTCAGGTAGTTCCCAATGCAACATCTCGTTTTCAATTAGTTTAACTTGATGTACTAAAATAAACAAGAAATTAAATTAAATAAATTAAAAAGGCATAAAAATGACAAAATCACACAACACAATTACTAAAACTTTTACTGAAATATTAAAATGAATTCACAAGATAAATAAAATCTCAGTGATACTAAAATAACTACAATAACTAGAAATAAAACTGCATAAAATAGACATTAATAAAAGCTAATAAAAATTTCAAAAACACAAGAAAATTACTAAAACTTTAAAATAAAACGAAATGAAAAAAATACATTGCATTGTGGGAAACAGAGTCCTAAATTCCCACATAGTGTTCATACTGCATACAGGTCGTGTGTTACGTTTTGTGTATCACATCACTAATGCTGTTACTTTTATCTTTGATTTTGTGATTTGCAGAAAGCTTGCGAAGAAGCGCAAGGAGACGCTGAACAGCACGAGACAGGAGATGACGGTGATGGTGAACTCAATGGACAAGAGCTACACGGAGCAGGGAACCAACTGTGATGAAGCGCTGTCATTCATGGACACACACAACCTCAACGGACGCTGTGAGTGAAACACACACACTATACACACACACACACACACACTATACACACACACACACAACCTCAATGGACGCTGTGAGTGAATCACACACACTATACACACACACACACACTATACACACACACACACACAACCTCAACGTGGACAAGAGCTACACGGAGCAGGGAACCAACTGTGATGAAGCGCTGTCATTCATGGACACACACAACCTCAACGGACGCTGTGAGTGAAACACACACACACACACACACACTATACACACACACACACACAAACACACAACCTCAACGGATGCTGTAAGTGAAACACACACACACACACAACCGCAACGGATGCTGTGAGTGAAACACACACACACTCTTTCTCTCACACACACTCTCTCTCTCTCACACACACACTCATACACACACACACTCATACACACACACACTCTCACACACACACACACTCTCACACACACACACACACACTCATTGTGATAAAGCAGCTGTCACAAACACTCGTCCTCACAGACGCTCCTGACGGCTCCGACTGAGAGAGCGCATTAATCGCAGACGCATGCTCTCCTGCAGACGCGTCCTCAGATCACCGTCTCTGCTGTGGCTTTACAGCAGAAACACTCACACACTCTCACACTCACACACACACACACACTCACACACACACACACACACACACACACACACAAACACATTCACACACACACTCACACATACATCGACACACACACACACACACTCACACATACATAGACACACACACCAACACACACACAAACACACACACACACACACACACACACACATACAGCAGAAACATGTGCTGCTGACAGCTGCGCATCTATCCCAGGATACAAAGAAATATGAGCAGAATTAAACCCGTTTAATATTTAAGAGCATTAGTATGTTTTTCATTGTGGCATGATTGTCATGACAGCTGGACAACACATGGAGCTGTGTGCCAGTGTTATTTTAGCCTTATTTAAACTAGTATTATTTATATAAAACATTTAATAATATTTTTAATTGGCTTTAATTTCATATTTTCAGTTTTAGTAATTTGGTTAAGTGCTTTTATCATTTTTATTAGTTTGTATGTTACTATTTATCTTAATTTATTTTAGTTTTAGTTTATTTGTTTTAATTTTTATTTATTTCTATTTAGTCATTTTAGTGCTTCAACTTAATTATTTCAAGGCAATGCTTTAAATTTTTATTTAGTTTACTTATTTATTAATAATATTTAGTGCTGTCAAACGATTAATCGCATCCAAAATAAAAGTTTTTGTTTACATAATATATGAGTGTGTGTTGTGCATATTTATAATGTGTATATATATAAATACACACACATACAGTATATAGTTTGAAAATATTTACATGTGTATATTTATATTCATATAATTTATATTATATGTAAATGTATTTAATATATAAACATAATATGTTTTTTCTTAAATGTATACATGCATATGTGTGTATAATAAATATACACAGTACACACATATATACTATGCAAACTAAAACTTTTATTTTGGATTATTCGCTATTAGTCGTTGCCCAGCACTAATAATATTTAAAATATTTATTGATTTTTGTTGTTTGTTTTGTTTTCACCTTTATTTCAGTTGACAGAAAGGTTAGTGATGGTTATAGTTTCAGCTCTAGTGATGTGTGTTTGTTCTGGTGTTTTTCTGTGTGAAGCCGGATCTTCTCCGTGTTCTGTGACGGTGAAGACGAGCACGCTGAGCAGCAGCATCCCGAACACGTATTACCCAGGTAACACACACTCCACACGCGTGTGCATGCGGCAGAAACACGCTGCGCCTCTGAGCTCACTCAACACAAACCACACAGCTCACGCTCCTCCTCAGAGTTTCCATCTTGTTTTCTCAGAATTTGCTTAAAATAAAACAAGTTTATGATTAAAACGTGAACAAACGTCTGCCGATGGGGTCAGAAAAACAAACATGTTTTCTCTTTGAATTAAGTTTATTTTTCGGACCCCACCGGTAAACATTTTGCATCTCCGGTAAATGTAACTCTAACGTTGTACATTTTATTATAAAATGAAAATATTTGATTAAAAACAAATAATTGTTTAATTGTAAAATGACAACAGCACAAATGCATCCCAGATTAACTCTGGTAGTTAGTTAATATTTGCTAGCATTACCTAGATCTGCAGAAAGATGAAGAATTTGAATGGGATGTTTTTTATGACTCTTATTATTATTATTATTATTATTATTATTAATCACAAATATAATGTATTAATGTATTAATAAAGTAAAATAATAAATTAATAATTTATATGAATAATTATTGAATAATAATATTATAATATATATATATATAAATATACTGTATATATAAATACAAAAATATATAAAATTATTTTTATTTAATTTTTTTCCACAGCTATTGTTTCTGATTTTTTTTTGTTTATTAAAAAAAAGCTTTGTTATACTTATGGCAGAAATTATTTTATGACCTCCATAAGACCCAATAATAACTTTAAAATAATTTGGATTAATAATAATAATAATTTTTATTATTATTACTGTATTTTAATGTATCAATAATATTTTAAATATGTTTGTAATTATATAATATTATAATAATAAAATAATTAACAATAATACATTTTACTTAATTAAAATGCTAAGCAATGCTTAAAATCAAGAAATAATTTTTCTGTTTGTTTATAATGATGATCAAGATTATAGTAGAAACACTGAAGGACATATCTTGTGCTGGACAGTCGAGCTTTGAGATCTGCTAGAAAGCTGTTCATTCAGACGGACTGATGGTTTGTGTGTTTCTGTGCTTCTCCTCCAGACCCCTTCGTCCCCACCGCGATCTTAGGTGAGCCGCGTCTGTGTGTCTCCTCATCATGCTCGTTTGATTTGGCTTGTTTTACAGCTTCTCATCAGCTCACTCGTCTGTCTGTCTGTCTGTCTGTCTGTCGCTTCTCTTCCTTTGGCTTCCGCCTTCACTCCATCCCATCCGCATCGCGCCTTGTGCGTGTGATGTCACTTCCTGTCTGACATCTCATTTGCATGGACAGACATGTGGACTGGATGTGGAGGAGTGGATGGATGATGCTGTAGCTGCACATTCAACACACTTGAGCGGTGATGTTAATAAATCAATCCCCTGAATTCAGTCAGAAAAACTCTAAAAAAAAAAAAACATCCAAAAATGGATTAAACAAACCATACTAGAAGATGAAATCAAATTAAGTGTATTATTATTATTACTACTACTACTATATTATTAGTTATATTAATTATACATTTTAATTGATCAATAAATTATTATTAAGTAATACATTTAATTTAATAATTCAATTTAAATGATTAATTAATTCAATTTATTCTTATTATTATTATACACTTAATATTATTATTTCAATTAGTTTATAATCTTTTAAAATAAATTATATTTTAAACATAATTAAAAATGTATTTATTACTTTCTTAAAATATGTATTAAATTAATGTATTATGTTAATTACTATTAATATATTTATTTTGTATTTTTTATTTAATAATAATAAATATATGTATTAATCAAGTCAAATAATTAATTAATTTATAATAAATATTGTTTAATAATAATATAATGCATTAAAATAAATAAAAATGCATAATCAAGAAATCTTTTTTTTATTTTTTATTTAATGTAATTTTTATGAAAGCAGTTTTTGTGAACACCGAGATACTGAGGAGTGCAAGTTTAAAGTTTTAGGGTTTATTAAACTAGGCCTGATGATGATGCTGTTGCATTAGAACTGAAAGAGCTGATAAAATGATAAATGCAATAAAAGCGCCTGGCGAATGCATGAATGCAAACATAAATGCATCGCTCTGTGGTTCTTCAGGTCGACTGATGCAGTTCATGAGCGAATGCTTTACTGTGTAAACGTGGAGACGGCTCTGCCGGTGTCGACTATCCCCTCGGGATGTTTTTTGTAGTTTTTGGAGAAGGACGGCTCGTTCTCTACATCCACTCCAGTGTTTCTTTGCTTCTCTGCTATTCTCTCTAATGTTTCTTCTGCCTTTAGCAACTCTTTCTGACCTACTTGTTTTTATTTTTCTTATTTTGCAGCTGTTTATTGGTTTATTCTATGATAAAATGGAATAATAAAGCAGGTTTTGTCTCGTTTTCGTGGCACCTCTACACCCTATTTATCTAAAGCGCTCCGTACCCCAGAGTCGGCCCTGAGAATTTAATTGAAACATAATGTGATGAAAAATAAGAGCTCAGAGCGGCGTATTAAATATGAATGACTCTCGGCTAACGGCACGTGTAAATGATCGCTCGAGTGGGAACAGGTTTACATTACACAATAAAACGGGGAGAAAACAGCAAAGCATCACCTCCGGCACACCAGGGTTTATGAAGCAGTGAAGATGATGCTGATGTTCAACACGAGCAGAAGCACAATCAGCTGCTTCAACACTTCTCAACCGCTTGCGCCTAACGATGTAGATTTTACACGGGGCATCAAGTATTCAATGTTTAAAAGTCTTCAAATCAAGCACTGCCATTTGTTTGTTTGTTTATAATTTAATGCATTTATTATATTTAGTTTTTCTATATTTAACATTTTTGCTATTTATTATTTTTGTTTATTTTTATGTTTCATTTTATTATATTTGTAATAATTTTAATTGATCATTTAATACATATTTCCATTTTTCTATTTTATTATTATTATTATAATGTTTATTATAATTATTATAATTTTAATTTATAACAAATTATTTATTATTATTTAAATTGTAATTAATAATTTAATGCATTTATTATATTTGTATTTTTGTATCAGTTTTATTCATTATTTTGAAATGTTTCATTTATTTGATTTCATTTTAATTTATAATTTAATGCATTTATTGTATTTCTGTTTTTATATTTTTAATTATTTTGCTATTAATTATTTTATTGTTTTTATTAATTTTTCATATTTTTTTATTTTATTCTGTATTGTATTTTATTATAATTTTATTTTTAATTATAATTTATAATTTAATACATTTATTAGATTTGTATTTTTGCAATTTATAAAAATAATAATATTTATTTATGTAGTTAGTTATTTTGGTTATATTTTTAATTATCTTAATTTTAAATTCTAATGAAATGCATTTATTGTCTCAAAGCCAGTAATTCAATGCACAAAACACATTGAGTTCAGCACAGATCATGTTTATCCCCATTAAAGCCGTATTTTTGTCGATAATTTTTGAGGGTGAGGTCATGTAATTTGACAAATGAGGAGTCTGATTGGCCTCCGTGTGACCTTTGACCTCCTCAGCACACTCGATCGAGGCAGCTGCTCTGTAGATCTCCATGAAGCGACTGCAATGTTCATCAGTTTTATTTGCATTTCTTCTTTTGTTTTGAAACTCATTTTTCTCCTTCATTGTGATTTGAGTCCCATAACACCCGGATCCCCGATCGCCCTGCGACTGATCAGCGCTCTGCTAGTTATCTTTGGTGTAATTGTTGCTTATACCCTGTCTCCTCTCTCTCTCTCTCTTCTCTCTCTGTCTCTCTCTTCTCTCGTTTAACCTCTAATGTATCTGCTTAAAAAGTCCCCATTAATGGTAAGTTCATCAGCGTGACAGAGGTTGTGTGTTTCACTAGAGTCACGTCCTCCTCCCTCCATTGGTGCGTTACAGCATCACTCGTCCACCGCATCTTCATCTTCATCATCATCATCATCCTCCTCCTGTGTGCGTCTGCATCGTGTTTCTGCTCTCTTTGCTTTGGCTTGTTGTGCTTTGGCCCGTGTGGCTCTGAACATCCGTCATCACACGTCCGATTATCCGCTCATGCTTTGCTGTTGATTGACAGCACCCACGCCTCATGGCAGATCTCAGATCAGGGCGAAACATGCACACAGGCCGATTCTAGCCGTGTTTCTTTGAAGTTATATCACGTGATATTTCACGAAGGAATGAACGAGCGGGGCAGTCAATCGATCCCTCCCTCCACATCCACTCATCCACCCTTCCTGCAACGTCGTGTCATGATCATCCATCGCCAATGAATGGGAAACCAATCAAGTGCTTTCTTTTACACTGATTGATTAACTGGAAAAATACAGGCAATTAAGGCAAAGACACTACAGGAGAAACATTGCACTGGTCAAAACACACAAGTGTTTATATTATTGCACTTTATCTAGTTGCGTCTGTAGATTTCAGTTACAATACATATCTTTAAAAGCTTTTATATCCACTTCAGTAACACTTACATACACCAAAACTTAGGGTTTTATTCATACCTATATTCTGAAGGTTTTTACTAAGGGGTTTGCTTATATATTATTCACACTGATTTATATAACATTTTACTACTAAAAACATGGTAAATATGCATATCTTTAAAGGTGGTGAGGTTTTATCTCCACTTCAGTAACACTTACACATACCAAAACTTAGAGTTTTATTCCTATCTATATTCTGAAGGTTTCTACTGAGGGGTTTGTTCATATATCATTCACACTGATTTATACAACATTTTACTCCTAAAAACGTGGTAAAATGCATATTTTTGAAGGCAATGAGTTTGTTTTTCCTCTGCAGCAGCACTTACACATACCAAAACTTAGGGTTTTATTCATACCTATATTCTGAAGGTTTTTACTGATGGGTTTGCTTATATATTATTCACACTGATTTATATAACATTTTAGTCCTAAAAACATGGTAAATATGCATATCTTTAAAGGTGGTGAGGTTTTATCTCCACTTCAGTAACACTTACATACACCAAAACTTAGAGTTTTATTCCTATCTATATTCTGAAGGTTTTTACTGAGGGGTTTGCTTATATATTATTCACACTTATTTATACAACATTTTACTCTTAAAAACGTGGTAAAAATGCACATTTTTGAAGGCAATGAGTTTGTTTTTCCTCTGCAGCAGCACTTACACATACCAAAACTTAGGGTTTTATTCATACCTATATTCTGAAGGTTTTTACTGATGGGTTTGCTTATATATTATTCACACTGATTTATATAACATTTTAGTCCTAAAAACATGGCGAAAAAGAATTATTTTTCTGTCTGTTAACAGTATTTTCTGATTTATGGATTGATAAAAAGAGAAATCCAAAATCACCTCAGTAAAAACCTTTAACTCTAATATGTCAACAAAATCAAATGAGAATTTTGATCCTGGCTTTATCCAATATTCTGATTTATTTAAATGTATGCAAATTAATGCATATTAAAAAATATATATAATAAAATAAAAACTAACTAACAAAAAACGATATACAGAAACTAACAAAAATGTGATAGCACTACAAAATTACAAAACCTTTAAAGTTAACATGAAAGCAGAAAATATAAAAATTAAGTATAATTCAAAATATTAGCAAAAACTGTACTAGTATCTCAATAATACTTTAAAAAACTGCTATGGTGATATTTATTATTTAAATTTCTATCCTTTTCACCTGTAGTGTCTTGCCTTACTTGTTCAAAAAGAAAAGTTTATCCAAAAATGTACTTTTTGTCTTTATTTGCTTGCTCTCATGTTGTTCCAAACCTGTAAGGTGTTTTCTGTTATGTTTCTGTATTTTCACTGAATAACTGCTGAAATTTCAGTCTCTCTCTTACATAGAGCACCATATCCCTGCTGAAAAAATGGCTAAAACCATTCTAAGCTGGTTGGCTGGTCTTAGCTGGTTTAACAGGCTGGTTTTAGAGGGGTTTTGACCACTTTTTAACCAGCCAGATTGGAAGACCAGCTTAAGCCAGCTACATCCAGTTTAAAGACCAGTTTAGGCTGAATTTCAGAGTTTTTTTAAGCAGGGTTATATGATTTAGTTTTTTTGTTTTTTTGTCATAGAATAAATTATTTTTTATTACTTAAATGTATATACTTATATTTATTATATAAAAAATTTGTATTATAATATATATTATATTTTATTTTATATTATTAGTTTTTATATTATAATATTATATTATATTTATTTATATTATTAACATTATTTCACATATTGAAATCACAGCATGCAGGTTTGGAATGATGTGAGTGTGAATAAATAATGACGCATTTTTATTTTTAGTGAAGTATTCTTTCAATTTAAGACTACATTACAGCTCATTTAAATTTGTTAGGGCCCGTTTGCGAGGTCGTGTGACTGAAGTCACTGTAAAAGCAAGCGTAAGTGTGACTTTAAGCGTGACGTGTTTCACTGCCGCGACGTCATCGCGTGTGTTTTCTGTCCTGTGTTGCAGACGAGACTCAAACCCTGACCAGCGACACCAGCAGCCTGGTGCAGTCGCACACGCACACACACTCGCTGTGCAAGCGCGAGGCCGTGGACGTGCCGTACCAGACGGGCCAGCTGCATCCCGCCATCCGTGTGGCCGACCTGCTGCAGCACATCACGCAGATGAAATGCGCCGAGGGCTATGGCTTCAAAGAGGAGTACGAGGTAAGAGCTCATCGATCCTATCATCCTCACTGCCACTCATTCCTGTTGATGTCATTCATCATGATGATGATGGTGATGATGAGCGTGTTTCTCTTTGTTTTGTTAAGTCAGTTTGTTAGTGTGAGAGTGTGTTCACATCAGCTGCTGCTGCACAAGAGTTACACACACACACACACTCACACACACACACACATTTACTGCATATTTTCTGAATGGGGACATTCCATAGACTTCTGCTATACTGTAACCAAATCCTTACACAAATATTTCTGCATTTCTAAACATCTTATTTTTCTACCATTTTTTACAGTTCAGGACATACTCAATTTAGCTCACCTCTAGGTGCAGATTTGTCAGCCAAAATATGATTACACACCTGCACACACACACACACACCTGTAGTAATGCAGCATGATTGACACTAGATCAGTGCTTCTCAACCAGGCGACGAGACCTCCTAAGTAATATATATACACACACACACACACACATAT